CCGCTCCTGCCTGCACCGCAACACACCCATTTTGGTCTGGGTGGGGCCCATTCTTTCTGTATAGGCTCCTCCTTTTCCCAAAGGTTCCCCGGTTCTTCTTATACTTAAAACCCTCCCCCTCACACCATTGTCTTATCCACACATTGATGCCCTGCAGTTCTGCCTGTCTTACTGGCCCTGCGTGGGGAATTAGAAATATTTCAAAGAAAGCTACCATGGAGATCCTGGACTTTAATCTCTTACCTAGCAGCCTAGATATGGTGTCCAGGACCTTTCCCTATGGCATTGGTACCCACTGGCTCCTCCCTAGCACTGCACATAAGTCTGTCATAAGTCTGGCAGGCAGTTTACCATGTGGTCATCCCTTGGTCATTAGAAACCCAACTAACTATATTTTTACTAATCGAGTGGTATTTTAGGTGGCCATAACTTCTGCCACAGGTTGGGGAACTGGAGACATTAATGGTAGATTACTTTACAGTTTTCTTTAAGGAAAAGTCTTCCTTATGACCACATCCTAATTTTTTTACCCAAAATTTTCTACATCAATCAGGTTGCAATTCTTCATGCATTAGAATCTATGAATCAATAAGGCAATTAAGGACCAAGTTTAAATCCCATACAGGAAAAGACTTCTTTAATTGTGGTTATATATTAATCAAAACCTTTCATAAACCTTGTCTTTGTGAGATGGGCAAATACTGAAAATCCCTCCACAGGTGAATCATAGAATTATAGGAACATAGAACTGGAAGGGACCTTGAGAGGTCATCTAGTCCAGTCCCCTGCACTCATGACAGGACTAAGTATTATAACCTGTCATGTTGGGTTATAAAGGTACACACACTGCTATATGTCCTAATAGTTGGAGACAATTTCTTGTCAGCATCTGTGGGGTTATTTAAATCTTCGAAATTAGGTTTTTAGTGTCTGCCTGAAGGTAAGCCCTAGCTGTTACGGTGTTCAGAGAAGCCCCTATAAAGAATATTTCTTGTATTGTGCTCAAAGTGGACTTAGTGTTTATTTGGAGACCTATCCTATGGAACAGGGATATGGCTGTCTGTACTGCAGAGAATGTCATTGTATGACTGGCCCTTGAGCAGCTAGTCATCCAAATAGGTGAAGTCTATTATCCCTGGCCATCGTAGGCAAGCAGCTATCACTGCTATGATCTTTGGGAATACCCTTGGGACAAAGGAGAGGTCAAAGGGAAACACTCAATAC